AATTAGTAGATACCTCCAGTGGCGTATCTACTACAACTAAAAAAAAACAAATGTAAAATGAAAGTACACCTAAGTCTGTTTTTACACGGTCTTTTTGTACACGGTTTTGATATAACACGGTTTGAAAATTGAATATTTTCAATTTTTTTACACGATTTTATTCCATTTAGCACGATTTTATGTACTTAAATTTTTTTTGTCAAATTTAATTTTTGCAAAGTATGTTCATATCACAAAAAAGTTTTTATGAAAGAAGAAAAGTCTGAAACCATCGATAGTATCGATAGCTTGCGAACACTAGCTTAAAGTTTTAAGTGAATTCCCCTTTAGCGCGTACAAACAATTTTTACTGATGAATAGCACTAATTCTATTTTACTTTATTTTTTACCTTAAAAATTGAATAACCTATTCTTTTCGTTCACAACATAATTTTTTAGTTCCTGAACTTGCCATACATTTAATTTATATTACTTCTAAGATTAGAGTGCATATCTTTTCTATCATTAATTACTATGCTTATGAAAATAAGCATATATTTGATTTAATAAAATAAACATGAATTCTTGTTTTTCACCAATTTTAATAGGTTTTCAGAGATTAGGAACAAATCACCCATTTTTGTATAAGATCAATGTCTTTTTTTACACGTTTTTTTTTTACACGGCTTCTTCTGGAACCAATCTACCGTGTAAAAACAGACTTAGGTGTATTATAGTTAATTAAACTATATTAGGTCTCCAGGTAAATAAACCTGAGGTCACTTATGAGTAGCTGACCAGAACAAAACCAAGTGAACACCAGACTAGTGTTCATAAAAGTCTGGTGTCAACTTAGATTTCAATTTCCATCTCACCTTCCGTCCAGGGAGTGCGGTCCATTCTGCAGGACGACGTTGACGTTCGAGGGATCGGCAAATGTGACGAAGCCGAAGCCGCGCGACCTGCCCGACTCGCTGTTCTTCATGACGACGCAATCGATCACTTCGCCGTACCTCGAGAAGAACCTCTGCAGGTTCTCCTGAGTAGTCTCCCATGATAGCCCTCCGACGAAAAGCTTTCTGTAAAGGAGAGAAAAGAAAAACGTTAGATAAATTGTAAAAAATACTATATATATTCTGAATTGTGATACTGAAATAAATAAACTAGCAGTGCGTGGCATCGTGTCTTGTGAAATATCAAAGTTTTTTCAAAAAAAAAAAGTGATTTTTTAGAATTTTGAACTTTTTGGATAAGTCTCATATTTAAAAACTTTAATTTTTTCTTAATATTTCGATTTTTTTAGCAACATGGCATTTGAAAAATGTAAACAAAATTTATACAATCTTGAACAACTAGATGACCCGACAGACGTTGTCCTGTACCCACGTCTACAATTTTTTAATATGATATACTATTATTTACCGTTTACCTAAAAATAATAATTGTTTTTTAAATTACTCTTCACGCCAAAATGCATATGCTTCAAATAAAATGAGTCTCAATTCCTACACTATATTGGAAATTGAAGACTTTTAAACGGTATATCATAACCATAACCATAACATAACA